ACCGACATTCAGCACACAACCGAATCGGATATAGACACTGGTCCGCCGTCTGTAAGTGAGGTCACAAAAGCTATCTGTAATTTGAAACTAGGCAAAGCGGTAGGACCCGACGGAATTATTCCGGAGGTGTTTAAATATGGGGGTGACATACTAGTTTGTAGATTAACTGAGATACTAGGCGAAGTCTGGGAATCAGAGACAGTTCCTTCAGACTGGGGTAAGTCACTTATTATACCGATATTCAAGAAGGGAAACAAGTCGTCGTGTGATAATCATAGGGGGATCAGCCTAACGAACATAGTCTCTAAAATCCTAGGCTCAGTAATCATGTACAGACTAAGCAGAACCCGGGAGGAACAGATGAGGGAAAATCAAGTAGCTTTAGACCAGGTAGAGGGTGCATAGATCATATCTTTGCTCTTCGACAGATTCTAGAACATAGACACACTTTTCGGCGTCCAAAAACTGCCATACAACATACTTCCAATTTAATACTCAAATATATGAGCAAATAAAGGGAACACCAATGGGATCCCCCATATCAGAATTATTAGCTGAAGCCGTTATGCAAAGATTAGAATTAATAGCTCTACCTATAATGAAACCGAAAATCTGGGTACGTTACGTTGATGATACATTTGTAATAATTAAGCGAAATGATTAAGAATATACCCATAAATTAATAAACAACATATTTGAAGACATCAAATTCACAAGAGAAGAAGAGTTAGATAACAAAATCCCATTTGATATATATCCATATAATATGTGTGTTTGTTTGACAGTCTGTCTTGGTGATATATCCATATAATATGTGTGTTTGTTTGACAGTCTGATATATTTTACTATGTATATATGGATCGATATTCCATTATAATTAGCTATTCATTTTAAGACTGTCTATTGATTTGTTCATTTTGAGTATTCGCTCACACACTTGTTCGGAGATTCATATATTTTGCTCTCACACACTTGTGTGATATTATTGATTCTCCTTGTGTTTGGAAAATAGAAGTATCATTGCAAACCTAGTGGTCTTCTGATTTCCGTATTTCAGGACTATTAAATTCTCGACCAATACTTAACAATAATTTGGCGACGGGGACGGGATGGATCCTTCCAAATTGGAATTACTATTTGAACAACAAATGAAATTAATGGAAATGTTCGTCAACCAACAGACTGGTCCAACTTCACCTTCAAGCAATCCCAATCATACCATGCTACCATCTGTCGACGGAATTGTGAATAGTATTTCACAGTTCAATTATAATCCAGATGCCAATGTCACTTTTGACACATGGTATCAACGATATGAGGATTTATTCACAGTTGATCTCGCCTCACAAGACGATGCTTGGAAGGTGCGAGTGTTGTTACGTAAATTGGGTCCCGCAGAATATGAAAGGTACTGCAACCTAATTTTACCCCAAAAACCACGTGACAAGTGTTTCGATGATACAATAAAGCTGCTGCATGAACATTTTGGAGACCACTCCTCATTATTCAGCATACGTTATCGTTTCCTCAAGCTGACAATGAATGAAAATGATGATTTTCTTACTCACGTTGGCACAGTCAACCGAGAATGTGAGAGATTTCGACTCAGGTCCTTAACAGATGATCAATTCAAAGCCTTGATCCTCATATGCAGTCTTAATCAGGAGAACCAACACAGGAAATTTAGAAACACAAGTATATAGAAAGTCAACGCACACAGATCAAATACTCAACTATACTAGCAACAATCCAATTACTCACAAAAGAAACTGCGTGCAGACATTGTTTAGAAGAATTCAGACACATTGTTGCACACCAGAGTTGAAAGGAATGGAAAAGAATACTTGCAAATGGTGTTCAAGAAGAATGGTTATCCAAGAAATTTCATCAAAAAGTGTTTAAAATCGAATGAAAGCACCAACAAAGAACCATCACCAAAGACCAAACAGAAATTCATCCTACCATACATCAGAAACATCTCTGAAATAACGGCTAGAATAATGAAACCGTTTGATATAGAGGTAGCACACAAACCAGCTGAATCGCTTAATTCCATCTTATGCAAACCAAAAGATCCGATAAAAAAGGGAGATAAAATTAACACCATTTACAAAATAAATTATATGAACTGTAACAAACATTACATCGGCCAAAGTGGGCGTCCCTTTCGAATAAGAATCCAGGAACACAAATCAGCTGCGAAAAGACATGATATAAATTCTTTAGTATCAATGCATACAGACGATTATGGACATCAATTTGATTGGGATAATGTCAAAATCTTAAACAGAGGAAACACCAAATGTGCCAGGGAATTCCTAGAAGCCTGGTACTCAAATGAAAACGCAATTAATAAACACGTTAATATAGATGAAATATATCAACTAATAAAAAAGTAAATCAGGTGATCAGGAAGTTTAAAATCCCAATCAATAGAAAACGGTCAATACATATCTAAAGATGGTTACCGGGAGACTCATGAAGAAATTTAAATCATCTAACTTTATCCTAAATACTGCGCTGAAGATGTCGTCCAGAAAGACGATGAAAGCTCCGCAATTAAACCAAGGAGCTCAGAGAACACTATCAATTGCAAATTGCCATATTTCTTGACTTGAAGGCGGCCTTCGATTCATTGGATCGAAAGGTACTATGGCAATATCTGACTGTGAAGGGAGTGCCAAGAAAGTACACTGCACTAATCAAGGCACTCTATTCAAACTCACGTAGTCGTGTAAGGGCTTATGGGGAATTGTCATCTGAATTGGTAACAACCAGTGGTGTCCGACAGGGATGTCCACTTTCCCCATTTCTGTTTAACTTCATCATACATATGCCGATGGAAGTATCCTTAACTAAACGTAACGACTTAGGAATCGACTTGTTACCAGGGAATAGTCTTATGGACTTAGAATATGCAGACGACATATCCTGTTAGGGGAGGATGCTGACAAAATGCAGTCTTCTGAACACCTTGAGCAGCAATCTTCGTATGTTTGGAATGCGATTCGCCCCTGCAAAATGTAAGATGCTGCTACAGGACTGGACTACGTCAACTCCTAGCTTGGTGGTAGGGAGTGAAGTGATAGAACATGTTGACCACTTCACCTATTTGGGAAGTTGTATCAGCACCAACGGACTGATTGGCGACGAAATATCAGCACGGATCCGAAAAGCTCGAGCTGCTTTCGCTGACTTACACCATCTCTGGCGTAGGCGTGACATCCGGCTATCAACCAAGGGACGTGTGTACTGCTCAGCAGTTCGCTCCGTCCTTCTCTATGGCTCTGAAACATGGCCAATACGAGTTGAAGACATGAAAAGGTTGACTGCTTTCGATCATAGATGTCTGCGATCTTTTCCTCACGTTAGGTGGTTTAACAAGGTAAGTAATGTTGACGTTCGGCGTGGAGTGTTGGGCAAACAGGGAAAATCAATCGACGAGGCTATAAAGTTACATAGATTGAGATGGCTAGGTCAGGTGGTGCGCATGCCTAACCATCGCCTCCCCCGACGGGCATTACTACCTGATATAGGTGCAGGTTGGAAAAGGGTAAGTGGTGGCCAAACAAAAACATGGCCTCATCAATCCATGAGATCCTTGACAGTTAAACTGAGTCAGGTAGGGAGATGCAGACTTCCGGTTTGGGGCCCTCGGGACTCTAGGAATCAATGTCTGGAGACAATAGGTGACATGGCTCAAAATCGTTGTCAATGGCCAGCGCAGATGTTTTCAGTCTCTGTAATCTTTCATATTCCTTTCTACCATTGCCCATTCTGTTTCACTCTTATACATGTCAAACTATTGATTCTCTTCACTCATCTTCTTGTCTACCTTTGTGTGATATTTGGAACGTGGCAACTCGAACTGCTGCACTTCGGTGCCAAGTTCTATGTTGAATCCAGACAGACAGACAGACAGACAGACTCAGTCTACCTCGATTATATTTTCTTTCTATAAGCACTGTCTCATCCACATGAACAATGACGCCAATACTGCCAAGTATTTGAGTCACTCTGTTCATTTTCGATGATGTTTTGTCTCTGCAGTACTGTTACCATTGCACTGCGGACACTTCTGAATTATCTGTTTCATACGTTGTTGCTGTTACCGGTCTTTTAAACACCCAGTTATGACACATTAAAATTTTCGTTAGCGGTAACTTAAACTTAACGAAAAAAGTACCTACGGAATCTGTAAACTAAAAAAGAACGGCATTTCTTCTCGAAGTGATTTTCTGGCTCAGCACTCATCGCACCTGTAAACAAATCCATCAATGCTCCTAGTATATCTTTGTAAATACATGACACCTTCACATTCACACTTTTTCCACCTTCCTATCAATTTGTTCTCCAAACAGTAAGTAAAAACAAGATCTGGAACGAATTTGCCATGCAAAAGGTGTACAGCATTCATAAGTACGCCTGTATAATACGGATTCTCTCAAGGTCATTTACCCGGTTTGGGCTGCTATAGTTTAGAGTCACGTAATTCTCTACAATAAGGTAATCATAAGCATTGTGTATTACATATCTTGTGTCAACAGGTATTTGCCCTAGGGTGATGTAGCCAATATAATTAACAACAACCATTAGAAGTTGTATTAGAGGCTAGAATTGCAGTATACGCTACTGATAAGAATTTATCAGTAGTATATCGTATGTTTGTCCGATGTCTTCTTCAAGAATCTTGAACAGAGGAGCATAGGATTAAGGGGAAAAGAGAAGAAATGAAAGATACTTGTGAAAGAAAATATAGAAAAAAGCATGAAAAGAAGAGAAAAAGAAGCAGGATAGATGTAACTTATTCAAATTGAAGTTTAATAGTAAGATTTACATACTTTGTTGCTATGACAGGATATGATTTTCCAAACAAACCATTCTGCTCCCGAATTTCGGTTTTCTGCCGTTCACAAAACGCATTCAAAATGCGTAAGTAATCAGCCTAAGACACAAACTATATAAGCAGCAACAGAAACAATAAAAACCGTCTAACTCACTTGTGTTTGAGCTAATTTCCTGGTAAATGGTGTTAGTACTTGACGTGATTTTAAGAACGAGAATAGTTGGAATGCAACTACAGGTCTAGGGAATAAACGTATTGTTCGTGTATGTTCTGTAATATTTCCAAGTACATTCAGTGAATTAAAAAATCGTACCTAAAATGTATGAAAGAGCAGACAAAGGATTTGAAATGACAACAATTCATCTATTTATCATAATCATAAACACGAATTACAAGAAATATCAGCAGATATATATATATAGAATTTGATTACTAACTACTAATAACAATAGCTAGCAATTCTACTACACATCACAAATTATATTAGATGATTGTAGGCAATCAGCAGGAAGCCCTGCTTGACCTAGGTTTCGTGTTAGTTGGCACTCGTCACCAAGGCATATCTTCAACTTTGAAGGAACTAATGTCCCTTCTGAGATTCAAACCCGCGTCATCAAGTGCTGCCTGCAGTCAGAGACCTTACCAGTTCAGCACTGGGTGACACGGGTTCAAATCTCAGAAGGGACATGAGTTCCTTCAAGGTTGAAGATACGCCTTACTGACGAGTGCAAACTAGCACGAAACCTAGGTCAGGCAAGGCTTCCGGCTGATTGCCTCCAATCATCTAGTATAATCAAATCAATGTGCGTCGTAATGGCGAGTTACCTAGAATGGTGACCACATTGCAAACCTGACCGGCGGAATTCAGTGTGCACCAAAGAAAGGACTGGACGCATAACACAAGTTACTAGTGTCCAATCAAAGTACACATCACAAATTGGCAGAATTCATTAGCCACTGGATTCCATTCCGGAGTCTGAATGGTCGCTTTGTAACCTGAATGTCTTAAGTTGGATCCATGAGAATGAAGTCATAGATACACACTGCTGAGGAGTCCAAAACAAGGACGAAATAGCTGTACAGTAGTACTCTTGATATCAGCTCTTGTTCAAACTTGCAGTTAATCAAATCCATGTAAGCCAATACTTGTAAATGCATAAAAATAGAATTGTTTGACATTGAATCAGACTGATCTATCATATTTATGTCCGTCACTCTCAGTCAAAGTGATACGTTAAAAAAGACATCATTCTATGCGCTTAAATGAGTAAATTTCATCAGATACCATTGAGAGACTAAAAGTTCTCCTTGACAGGAGGCCCCGGACCTGGGTGTCATGCCTATTAGCACCCTAAACAAAGCATAGATGTGACCTCAAAGTTATCAATCTCTCCAGAAAATTAGAACTTTTGCAACCCATTATTTTATTCAGAAATCTCACCACTGAACTATCCAATTTCATGATCGGTCGAAGTGTGAGTCAAGGATCTCTATCTTACGCAGCTTACTGTTATATCGACAACAGTCTGAATAGGCGTCACATAAAGTCAGAACAAATCGTCTTACTAATATTCTGTTGGAATTAAAATTGCCATTTCTGACAGGTATGCGCGAGCCAGTCATTGTAGTAATTAGTACTAAGAACTCGTAAGTTAAACAGTCTGTCAATCAATGAACTATCCATTGTGAAAGACTAACAAATTGAAAATGTTTCTTTACATAAACTATGCATACTACTGATTGATTTGGATGAGTAGTTGTATACCACTCAGGCCAACTCTTAGTGCTTGCTAGTCGATCAGATCGAAGTAACCTAAACACTGGGCTGTAGTTTTGCTTGTTCGGGATTGAGCTCATCCGAAGTCTACCCCATCTGCCTCATCTCAGAGAGCCGAATCAGCTCTAATCCCCAGTTGATCTCGACCGTAGACGAGCAAAACGGATTTAGAGACCACCTCGATCTGGCCGACTAGCAAGCACTACTAGGTTGACAACAATGACAAACACCTAAATCACCTCAGTCAATCGATAGTATATAGCTTTTTGCAGAAAAATACTTTCTTTCTCGATTACCACTTATAGTCCCAAGCAGATCACATACTTTATGTGTGTGTAACTCCGTGATCTGAATAATCTGGTTTCCATAGGAAACTGTGATGAGATTCCATCTACTCAAATTAATTTGCATATTATGAATTCGATAAGGATTCTGTATACATATATGAAAGTATTTCAAAAGTGAAGAACGTATTCAAGATTTAAAAACAGAACTCACCATTGCAACTCGAGTAGCTACATCAACTGAATCAACATTGTTTAAAGAATTTGACAAAGTATTAGATTCTATTTCACTGGAAACATCAACCGACGGTTGGTTCATCCTCATGCTTGCTAGAGCCTGGTAATATGAAAGAATTATACAATATATAAGTTTTCAAGTCATAATAAAGGTTTTTTGTATTTCCCAGTGAATGAAAACAAAACGATATCGTTGTTTTTACTGGTGTTTCGCTATTTAGTGCTGTTAATAGCTTTATCAAAGTATTATTAAACTAGAATTTACAAAATCCACTCAGCTTATATATAACAACTTGATCATCGTTCCTCAGCATGGGGGCATTTTTGTGTTATCAAGTTGCCAATTGATAAAGACAACAAAACTAACTGTAGATTATTGGGTTTGATAAGCGTATAAAATTATACAAGTAGCGTGTGTTTACATAATGAAATTGATTATCACATCCGTGTTGACTTTGTCATTTCATGAGGAGCGAGATGCTGCAGCCAGGTCAAATTCTGTTTTACTCCATCATTCCTATTCAGACAATTTGGGTTCCATTTGATATGAATTGCTTCTGATACTAGACGTTCTTTATAATCCCTGAAATTTTTCTAGATTATTTCAATATTGTCAAAATCAGTTTTGTGGCCTGATTCTACAGCGTGTAGACAGATCGATGGCTGATGATTTTTCGTCTTTCCGTATACACATGATTAAGCCTTGCATAATGTAGTCTGTCTGTCTGTTTCCGACATAGAACTTTGCACAAATGTGCGGAAGTTCAAGTCGCCACATTCCGTGTAGCACGCGAAGCAAGAGAAGAAAGTACAAGAAAAGCATAATAGAGACAGTGAGCGGAGGTGTGAGACAAAGGAGTAATAACGAAGGACAAAACAGTTTCATTGGAGATCATAAGTCACAAGGAGTGGATGCATCTGCGCCACTGAGAACGATTTTGAGCCATGTCACCAATTGTTTCCAACCATAGATTTTTACCGTCCCGAGGACCCCAGCCTGGAAGTCTACACCTTCCTACGTGTGGCTTAGACCAACTGTTGTGGATTTCACTGACTGGTGAGGCCATATTTTGGTTTGACCGCCGCTAGCTTTTTTCCACCCTGACCCTATATCCGCTAACATTGCTCGTCGAGGGAGGCGATGACTTGGCATACGTAACACATGTCCTAACCATCTCAGTCTTTGTAGCTTCACGACTTCGTCGATTGATTTCCCCTGTTTACCTAGAACTCTACGCCTAACCTCCATGTTGCTCACCTTATTATGCCACTTTACACGGGAAATACAACGCAGGCACCTATGATCAAAGACAGCTAGTCTTTTCATGTCTTCCACTCTCAGTGGCCAGGTCTCACAACCATAAAGGAGGACGGAGCGGACTGATGAGCAATACACCCGCCCTTTGGTCGATAGTCGAACATCTCGTCTACGCCAGAGTCGGCGTAAACTGGCAAATGCGAAACGAGCCCCCTGTATTCGTGCTGAGATTTCGTCAGAGATCAACCCGTTGGGGCTGATGGTACTTCCCAAATAAGTGAAGCGGTTAACGTGCTCTACCACTTCACTTCCTATTTTTAAACTAGGCGTCGATGTAGTCCAGTCCTGTAACATCATCTTGCATTTGGCGGGAGCGAATCGCATGCCAAACATTCGTAGATTGCGGCTCAAGGTGTTTAGAAGACTCTGCATTTCGTCAGCGTCTTCGCCTAGAAGGACTATATCGTCTGCATATTCCAAGTCAACGAGATTATTCCCTGGTGGTAGCAAGTCAATCCCTGAGTCGCTGAAGTCACCTAGGGTTAAGTCCATTAACACATCTATGATGAAGTTGAATAGAAAAGGAGATAATGGGCATCCTTGACGGACACCACTGGTCGTCATCAGTTCAGATGACAGCTCGCCGTAAGCCGTCACCTGGCTGCATGAGTACGAGTAGAGTGCCTTAATCAGTGCAATATATTTTCTTGGAATTCCCTTTACAGCCAAGCATCTCCAGAGAACTTCCCGATCGACAGAGTCGAATGCTGCCTTTAGGTCAAGAAATATAATGACTGTTGGATGCCGGTAGGAATGCCTATGTTCTAGAATCTGTCGGAGGGTGAAGATATGATCAATACACCCTCTTCCTGGTCTAATGTAGTAGAGTTAAATCTCTATCCTACAACAATCAAATGAAACAGTCATATGTATGTTTGAGTGATAGAGTGCTGATCTGCTTCAGTTATAATGTGATCTCTGTTCTAACCAGGTTATTTTCTTTCAAACCATAGACACTTATTTAATTCAATTTCAGAATTTACCATCGATTGATTGGACCGAAATGCCCGGTCTCAGGTTGATATATCGGCTACTTATGCAGATCATTCAACGATGTCCAGTTATGTAGTGGATTGTAGCTAGCAGTGAAATCCAGTAGGATGCGCATTTTGTCCCATTTCGGACTCATCAGTCAATGGATGTACCTGAATTCACCAGTCAGTGATGATGATCCTTCCACCGAGGCTCGAACCCAGTGCCCACAGTTTCATAGTTATCCACTAGACCATTTGAGCCACGAGGGCCATCTCTTGTGCAACGGGTTTTAATAATTATTTAATCCGATTTCAAATTTCCCTGTCAGTTGACTGGACTGTTGCACAAGAGGAGGTTCTCGAGGTCCAAGTCGTCTAGTGGATAACGCTCTGCTGTTTGAATCTATGGGCACTCGGTTCGAGTCTTGGTGGGAATACCATTACTCACTGAGGAATTCAGGTACACCCACTGGCTGACGGGTCCCAAATGGGACGAAATGAGCATTCTGATGGATTCGACTAGTACTCACCATCCACCAACTGACTTCATAGACACTCGTATTGTAAATGTATGTATGTGCGTATACCTCTTTGAATGGTAATTCACATAATGCTTAATAATTCAGTAAACTGAAAATCACACTGTGAACAGTCAAAAGTCAAACTGAATACACCTTCAGAGTGAAATTTTGGACAGGCATACATGAATGTGTCGATTTCTTAACAATTGAAATGATAAATACTTGTCTATTATCTGTAACAAAACGAATCCTTACAAAACGAACACTTGATAATTAATCTGGTGCACACTAGTGACTGGCTCTATACAGGAAGTTATCTGGAGTTCTGGTGAGAATTCGTGATAAATAGGATCGGCTATGTCAGGTGTGAGGACAAATACTCGCCACTGATAACATTGGCTGGTGCCAGTCGCATTATATTTCGTGAAATGACAGAAGTTGGAATTCATGGACTGATCATTGAATGGGGTCCCACAGTGGTGAGTGGTCTACTAGTTCACCTTGTAGTCAGAAAGTCCTGGGTTCGAACTCCATTGGAAGCTTACAATTGAAGAGTCCCAAAGTAGGACAAAACAGACGTTTAATACTTATTAGCTTCCCGATGGTTCTTTGGCTGATGTCAAATCGTGATAAAACCTGTAATTTCTATTTTGGATGTTGAACTGCAGTCATCTGATTGATTCCAAGTTAGATCATGAAATAATATCATTTAGAGAAGCATTGAACAGTTATGAACTCTTTCGCAGTATACACCTACGATACTATCGGAGATATAATCCGGAACCTTTAGGTTACGAGGCGAAGACACTGACTGTCTAGTCATTAGAATGCAATTCAATGCCCATGAATTGTGACTTCTGTCAATTTACAGCATATGCTGAAATCAGAGTTACTTCCGAACTATAGTCAGTTCGTTATCTAATTTGAAACCAATCAAATCCGTGCAAATCAATACTTGAAATTTTAATCCAATGCTCACCGATGACTGACCACAGGATGAAGTTGCTTAAAGTTCCAGTTAAAACTCTTGACCACAGGTGTACACTAAGTCATATATGAGGATAAATAATCACCTATATCGTTGACTGGTGGTGGCGCTATATATCACTAAATATTTTACCCGATAAGTCTAGATATGTAAACATGATCCACAAAAGAAAACATCAAGACATTCACCTTCGAATAATCAATGTAATAGATCAATTTTGTCTCCTGTTACCTTGTACTTTTGATTCACTTTTCAAGTCTACTTATTTTGTATTAAAACCATTCTTTGGGAACTCAATTAGTTCTGCAGTGTGTTTTATTTGTAAATAATTATAAGTAGTACTTAGATTAAAGTCTTCAGGATAACGGTGACAATGTGTATATAGAAGCAAATTTTTTTCCTTATCAAATTACACAGGTCATCCAATAGGAAACTTTGAATTCCACGCTAAATATCCTGAACTGTGTGTATATTTTCCAGCATTTCATCTATCCTTTTAAATTTTAACAAAGAAAGAAGAAACACTGACGCAGACACATGGAGTGGTCTTTACTAGAATTTCAACAGCTTCTGCCCAGTGTGAGATACAAACGAACCCTGATGAAAACGCTTTTCTCTAGAGCGAAGAAAATATGTTCACCAAACAAACTAGACAGTGAACTAATGCTTCTTGAAAAATGCTTGAAACAAAATGGTTACCCACATAGTTTCATTAACAAATATGGCAAGAATGAACTCAAGAAGCTTGATACAGCTACAGTCAGTAAGAAGAAGCCTATTTTCATCAAACTCGACTACAAGGATGACGACATTATGAGAATGGTAAATAAAAGATTAAGCGCAGCCCTGTCTAGGATGTATCCAGCAGCATTATTAGTCTCTCTATTCCGAACAACCTCCTCACTGGTGCAGTTGAAGATTGACAAGTACCCCTCACATGTTACCTTCAACTGTGTATACCAATTCACATGTATCTGCGGGAGCAGTTACATTGGAAGAACAGAGAGGAGGGCCTATGTCAGATTCTGAGAACATGCACCAAGGAGCCTCCGGTTAAAAGCACCGAATTCTCCAAGCTCTTCAATCGCCAAACACCTGATTGACACAGGGCACCGAGTGGATGTGCTGGAATCATTCAGTTGTAATTAACAGACAAAGTACCTCAAGTCTTCTCAGATTTGCTGAAGCTATAGCAATAGAACGATTGAAGCCTGACTTATATGTCCAAAAAAGAATCTGTTGTTGGACTTCAATTACCCTGGTAACTCACTTCTTACTAACTCTTTGTTTTCTAATTTTGTTAACTTATCTTTTCACTCCTCACCCCGTTTATTTTACTGCACCAATGTTTCTTCTTTCTTTGTTCAAATTTATAAAAGGGAATCATTGTTTGATATCCTTTTAAAGTTTTCTTCTTTTCCCATACTTTCCAAGTGAAAGACAAAGCTGTAATCTTTGAAGTTTCAACTGTGGTGGACTTGTTTTATCTCACAGAGGAGGCCGATGGGGGAGTGGGAGAGATTGAAAGCCCCATGACCAAAGTTCCCTCTTTCTACCATCTTACTATCGGCTAGTTAACTAAGCGAAGCTTAGCATTGCGTTAGCCACAAACCAGAACTACACCTTCAGTATGAGACTGGTGAACATTCTACCGTCGAATTACTGACATCTAGTAGATACTAATACACTGAGAGAATTGTAAGCATGCAAGCTGATGAAACTAGAAATATTTAATTCAGTGATTAATAAAAGCATTTCCAGATTTAAATATTCCATACAGTGTAAAATGAATACAATAAAGTAGTATATATATTTTTTTTTTAAAAAGAAAGAAAGAAAAATTACCTGATTTAAATTTTCTCGTAATTCTTGTCCTTCTTTCTCTGGAAGTTCAGGTATCGATTCTAAAAGTGAACTACCCATCATCTAGGAATGAAAATCAGACAGTCCATTTATAGAAATATTTTTAGTAATTAAAGTGAGTTAGTTTAAAGGATTATATATATATATCAGTTAAAGAACCACTGGGAAACCACGGTTTACTGGACACGTGTTTCATCCCCATTTGGGACTCTACGGCAATGCGCACGCACCATGGTTCAAATCCAGTACCTCCGAAGTTACAAGTCAAGCTCGTAGACAACTGAGCCACAGGGAACCGATTCAATGGTCCATGAATTCCAACTTCTACAGATTCGCGATTTTAGCACGACCGCCACGGGATGTCATCGGCGGGTATTTGTTCTCACACTCAACACAGTGGACTGTAACAGATATCAAATGGTGATCAAATTTGAAATATATCAAATTCCTGCAAAACTGAATCTTGGAAATTAATCTAATGCTCACTAGTAACTAGCTAAAGGACAAAGTTTCTTTGAGTTCTAGTGAGAAGTCGTGATCCTTGAGGTTCACCAAGTCGAAAGTGAACACAAATACTGGCTGATGGTATTCATTGATGGTCGCGCTACAATCACAAACTGGTAGAAGTTGTAATTCATGGGCCATTGGATCGGGTGTCGATGGCTGAATGATGTAATCAGACTAAAAGCCTGGCATCAATACATGAATCCTTTGACTTTTAAGTCACGGGAAGTGTATACTATCTAGTTTTAATTTAGATATACTCTCTTTCATAAATTTCTTCCAATTGTAGTTTCACTACATGCCTTTCATCTAGTTTTTTCTGGGCTTTACTGAAGTAAGACACCTTGTACCAAATTCTACGTCCCGAAATCGGTCAAAACTATTAGTGTTCATGATGAACAATTATTATTATTAAACCAACAAAAATCAGTTAACATGAACTAACGAGACATCTACCTATTTATTTTCAATTAAAAATGTCTTTTAGGTCGATATCAATGTGAAAATGCTTTTTGTATTCATGTGCCTTACAAGAGAGACATACAGCTTCAAGCTTGAAGTACTGAAGTTTCATTAGCCCTGGGATTGTTTTGCTTTACGATCTGTGTTTGCCAGCCTCTACTTAACCTTCTCTCTTTTCTGAGCTTGTCATCCGAGTAGTAAATATTGGCAAGGTGGCGTTTTGGAGTGAGCTGGCGCAGATTCGATCTCGGGACTACATACATGGTTGGCGAGCATTTTGCTACGAAATTACCACTGACGCATCAATGTGAAAATACTGGAAAGGTTTTTTTATACAAGTTAAGCATCTTACTTATATAAGCATATCAGTAGTATATTACCCTTATGTTGTTAATTGCATCAAATTAACTTACTTTATTTGTATCTAAATCTACTAACCAAACATCCGGTGGAAATCGAAATTCACTCTTTTCACCTAAAAAGCTTGCTGGTATACCAATAATATAAGGAGTTGGAGAAAGGAGCAACTAAAATCAAAATAAGACAACAAAAATGGAGAGAGAGAGAGAGAAGGGTATATAAATACTAAGCAGAATTAATTGCAGTCACTAGTGTATCTATGCTTGAGTGTTTGTGTGTGTGTGTGTGTATGTGTGTGCGCGCGTGAGTGTGTCAGTAATATTCATACAATATGATGTATTAATAGAATTTTAAAACGAAAAAATTCACTTTATTCTTCGCTATCATATAATTCAAACACTTGAGTATTTTAAGTTGAGTAACGAAAGTGATGTCATTTAAGGTATGATTGAAAGCTAAAGTGTACTGGATAGTTCTCCAAGCTTGATAATTTAATTGAGAAGCTTTCGTGTTGTCCTTCTAGGCTCAAACCTTCAGCAAAAAGTTTTTAATATGAAGTGAACGCATTTGTAATTATTGTTAGATAGTTGTCAGAAAACCTTGCACTTAGGTTTTGCACCTCTTTCCACTCGTCAGCAAGATGCATCTGCAGTCTTAAAAGAACTTATGCCTCTTATAAGGTTTGAACCCGGGTGACCTTATGTAGCCATCAGAGGTGTTAACACTGAGCTATTTGAGTTGACGATTGACTTCCTGTAGAACTGTAAAGGATACTTTGATTGGACACTATGTAGTATAGTAAGTAGTGTCATGTGTCTAGTCCTTGGTGTCGCTGAAGACTGAATTTTTCTCGAATGGTATAACTGTATTTCCTGACAACGTTTGTTTTGATTGACTGTTAATATGCACCTGTATAAATAATTTTTACCGACGTGGAATGGGGCTACTTCTGTCATGGGCTCTATTCTTTATTAGTTAATACATGTGTAGTAAAGTGTCTGTTAAGCGGTGATTCTTCTGAATACCAAACAAGCATATAGAAATTCTCTAGTATTTTCTATATTTCCATCGTTTGAAATTCCCACTACTGGTTAATTGTCTCATTCCAATCTGGGACTTTTCAGAATTACTCCTCCGTGATCTCGCTGGAGAGTGATCATCAGCTTCAGTTAGTCAAATCCCCTACAAGCTAACACTTTAAAACTAGGGTATACATTTTCACAGAATAAGATTTATGAAATTAAAAAAGTCCTGTTCTCCTTATTACCACTGAGTTATACCATCATCTCCATTTTCTCCTACAACAAATATGTAGGAGAAAATAGAGATGGGTGGGACACACGTTGAGGAAACCGTCAAATGTCATCACACTTCTGGACATTACTCAAGTTGAACCCAAATCGGAAAAGACGAGTGAGGCATCGCTTCGCAGGTGACATGGAGGAGATCGTGTGGTGAGGGAGAGATGAGACAATATGGGGCGATCGTTGACCCACCCAAAGAGAACGGAATAAAATAGAACAAAGTGAACGTGTGCTGTTGAAGCCTTGTGTTCCACTTGGAACCCAAGAGAACAATAATAATAATAATCTCCATTGACTGGTTCGTTTTTATGTACGATATGAGGAAAACAGGGGAATCAACAGACTAAATATTCAGGTAGGTAGTTACCTGGGTTCCAGTGGGAAGTCGTGACCAGTAGGGTGCAGCAGGTCGGGTGTGAGGACAAATACTCGCCGAAGACATTGGCTAGCGGTCGCGCTATGTCGTGAATTGGCAGAAGTTAGAATTCAAGGACCATTGGATCGAGTCCCAGTGGCTTAATGGTATACGAGGTCGCCTTGTAACCGGAAGGTCCTGGATTCGAATCCCGGTGGGTGCGTACTGCTGAAGAGTCCCAAACTAGGACGAAACAGCTGTCCAGTACTCCCAGGTTTTCCAATGGTTCACTAACTAATGTCAGCTCATGATGAAATCTTGAAACCAATCAAATCCCTACAAACCAACACTTAAACATTTTGCCTCTATGAAAAGCTTCATTAATAAATCGATATTTTTTAATATGTTTAAATTTTCAGTTAATTAAAGATATCCATTAAAAATCTTTAAAAGACTGATTTGTGAACAAAGAATACATTTTTCGATAACACATTCTCCATCAGGTTGTTCAAATTCTATAACTATAATAATTAAAGAATTATGCTTCTTTGTTTGGAGGATCTCATCATGAGCTGACATCGGTTAGAGAACCCTTGAAAAACCTACAGGGAGTACTGGACAGCTGTTTCGTCCTAGTTTGGGACCCTTCATCAGTACGCACCCACTAACGGGGTTCGAACCCAGGACCTCCTGATTACAGTGCGAGACCGTAGACCATTAAGCCACTTCTCAGCCCATGAATTCCAATTTCTGCCTATTGATGATATGGCGAGATCACGTCGCAATGTCTTCTTCGAGGAGTTACTACCTCACCTTCACGCTTATTGACAACATTAATGTTTTCTAAAATAATATCAAATCATTAAGTTCAATTGATAACAGTTTAAAACATGTCTGCGTGATAATATTCATGAAAATCACACTGGAATGATTGAATATCAGATAAATTCAGGAAAGTAATATAAAAATTATGAATTTTCAATTTCCACAACAAGTATCTGAACCTGTCTCTTTCGAACGCACAGTTCCGGTTGTTTCAGGTGAATTGCAGTGGCTTCTGCTGTTTGGGAAGTTCAGTTTTTAAAGGTCCTTAGCAATAAATACATTCTGTTCACGAAAGGTGATAGAAAAATACTCTTCATTGTTAGCATTGTGGTGTGTTTGTAGAGGGTGATCTAGTGTACAACTTTTGATGGTTTTTATTACAGTCTTATTTTGCCACACAAGCACAAACAGTTAGGTCCTTATAACAACATCCAATATAACTGAATCCGTAAGGGTATCCGAATCGATAGAGAATTCAAACACCGATAGAATTTTTACTTGGTTGATTGTAGCTAGCAACGGAATTTAGGAATGAAGTTTTATCCAATTTAGGGTTCATTGGTTGGATGTACCTTCATCTTTAGCGCGTGATAAAAAACCCCCACGTCAAACGTGATTCTGACTCAGCACTCATCATTAGAAATGCAAACTAATAAAATTGGTTTCGGATTTATCTATGCATGAGGATAATTTGAAAATGGCTATCCCCACGAATTTATCAAGAAACACATGACAAAGAAAGCTGAAAAGGACCCATCACTATCTGTAAACAAGAAGCCTCTTTATATATGACTACAATTCAACAGTGATATACCAAGTGAGATAATTTCGGAGAAATTAAGAAAATCAGTTCAAAGAACTTTTAATGCTGGCGAACTACACGTGTTATTTTCTATACAACCGACTGTGTTACCTCGACTGAAAGATGAAATACCTAGACTAGCCACTTCAAATTGTATCTACCAATTCAATTGCGCTTTCGGGGAGAGTTATATTGGCCGTTGCTCTAGGAACTTGATTTTTCGTGCTCGCTCGAGAACATCTCCCACTATGGCTAAGTAAAGGTGTAGTAAAAACCAGTAACAGTTCGATATTGGACCATCTGGTGCGAACCGGCCAGCCACAAAGGCAGCCAGCGTGGAAGAATCCTTCTCTATCATCATCTACCGGGTGCCTAATGAATTGCCAAAATCATCGAAGCACTGCATGCTGCAAACAGCAGAGGCTATTGCAATTCGCCTCAAACAACCAATGCTTTGTGTGCAAAAGAAGCAAGTCCAGCTAGCCCCTACTACTGCCTTGGCCTTCGGTAGAGACTATAAATTCATGAATTTGTAATATTATCTTTCCTAATTTGCCTTTCTGACATTCAGCTTATTTTATGTTGATGCTATTCAGCTGTAATCTATCAATATTATTGATTTGATGTTATTTAAACAGCAACAATAATGTTGTTCATAACACTAATTCATTCATTCACTATGATGTATATATAACTAACTGTAGAGCCTGATGATGAAGTTATCGAAAAGAGTACTCTTTGTTCAGTATCCATTCTTTTTAAAATATTATAATTACCATTTAAACACGATGATAAGTTTTGAGTGTGTGTGATAACACTTCCGGAGAAATTACTTCCTGTGATCGTATAAACTGTTTGAATTTTCTAACTTACCTACCTACCTTCACTCATATAGGAACCATGGCTTCAAACACAGGCAGTCGAACAGCACGGATAAAGATGTCAAAGCCAGATAGACAATCATAATCGAAAAGGAAAGATACGCCTTCATCAGCCTGAAATCAGTTCAGAAAAATCTTCTGCTGTCCACTCACTCAGCCAGCCAGCCAGCCAATCAACCAAAAATAACAAGAAGCGGATTCTGTTCAATACAAATGTGAAGTCAGTCAGTCAGCCAGTTAGTCAGTGCTTCTAAATGGGTCAAAAATGTGCACTGCACTGGCGTCACGAAAATCATTTCCAAGAAAACACTGCAGCTGCCGACTTCGCTGGCTTCGTATTGAAGATCAAAAAAAGGCCGACCAACCAGTCAGCTGGCCAAAAAGAATTAGCAACAAGCAACTCTCGCTGGGAACAAATCAACAGACAAGAACCGATCTCTCAACAAATATGTAGGAGAAAGTGGAGATGGATAGGGCATACGCCACTGATGAAGCCATCGAATAACAGTGCGTGCAATGCAAGCCATCGTTTGAGGGGAACCCCAATAGGAATAGACGACTGATTCGTCAGTGCGTAGGTGATACAGAGGAGGTCGTGTGTTGCGGAGGAGGAGTTGAGAAATTACGGTCTATCGTGGAGCTAGCCAGTTGAAGAGGACATCACAGGATAGAACGAAGTAGAGATGTGTTGTTGTTGGCCGCAAGTTCCACTAGGAACCCGGGGGAATAATAATAGTCATTATAATACCTAAATATAGCAATCCAATCAGATGCATTTGGTATTCCTATTTCATAGTCAGTGAGTTATCTTTTTTGTTGCTAGTGATGGGAGTGGCTTCAATGAATTCTATCATAAATACTATCTGTTTATTTCTTTCATGTTAAAGCTTAAAATGCCAATATTATCCCAATCGATATTAAATATTTCAAGCCCACACATGAGCAACTACTGATAAACTTTTCTTCTAGATTTTTATATTCTTTCATATTCTTTTTCTAACAGAAATCAGTACACTTCAAATTTCATATTTTTAATTTTACTTTCAAATACAAAAGTAATTTCCATGATCTGGTTGTTTCCCAGTATTCCTGTACCAAAGAAGGCACTGAAATTGAAAATAAGTCAGATGTTAAATACCTTGGATTATGTCTCACCTCTGATCTTTTCTGGTCTCTTCACATCATATTAATTTCGAGAAGGATATTTCATTTAATCTCCTAAGTCAGGAAGTTAAGACAGTCTGATATTATTCAATCTCTACTCTTAAAGTTTTTTAACTCTTGTATTCTACCTGTTCTTCTTTATTACTCCCCTTAATCTTTCCTCGGCTACTTAAGAAAGACTTTGTTACACTGCGAACGGCACTGAAAGTTGTAAATAAGTAGGGTGAATGGAGTGTCACTAAATCAACCGGTCAGTACTGTTGTGGATAGACACTTGAACTTATGCAAGAAGTTGGAGAATATCATCGCCTGCATCTCCACTTGTAGGACTCTCTGGTCGGTTTGCTGAGTATAATACTTTGTGATACCTTATTTGTCATACTTTTTATATGGTGAGAAAAGTAAAAGCATGAAACCCCTAACTCACTGCTGAGCACTAAGTAAACGTACCTTTTCATATTCTATATTATCAATATATTTTTCAGGTACTGGTTTGTATGGGTTTTTAGTTTGATTGATTGGAGGATTTCACCATGAGCTGACATCAGTTAGAGAACCCCAGGAAAACCCTCCAGGGAGTACTGGACAGCTGTTTTGTCCATTCTAGTTTGGAACTCTTTAAAAACTGTTATGTACTAGTTTTCCCCGTCGCCAAATTGTTATGTACTCGTCGACAAATTATTGTTATGGACTGGTCGAGAAACTAATAGTCCTGACGCAAGAAGGCGGAAATCAGAAGACCACTAGGTTTGCGACGATACTTCTATTTTCCAAACACAAGGAGAATGCAAAAGTGGTATCACACCAAAGTGGTCAGAGTAAGTAAGTCACGAGATTGTGAATGCGAAATATATATGAATGTTCCAGACAAGGGTGTGAAGAAAACATTAGACAGTCTTAACATGAATGGCTAATTATAATGAAGTATCGATCTATATATACATAGCGAAATATAGCAGACATGTCAACAACCACCATATATGGATATATGTCACCAAGCAACGGACTGTCAACAAACACTCATATTATATATAATATAAGGGGAATATACATTGTTAAAGGAGACAAGTTCATACAGGTGAAATGGTCACAGACTAAGCGAGCAAACAGAAAGAGAGACCAACATACACACACACATAAATATATATATATGTGGATACATATCAAAAACCCACGGGGTTTCGAACCCAGGACCTTCTGGTTACAGGGTTAGCGAGCTCGTAGACCATTAAGCCGAACCTGAACCAACCGGCAGAAGTTAGAATTCATGGACCATTGGATCGGGTCCCAGTGGCTGAATGGTTTACAGGTTGCTAGCCTTGTAACTAGAAGGTCCTGGGTTCGAACCTTGGTGGTGGATGAGTAGTGCTGATGAGTCCTGAACGAGGGCAGATGCAACAGCTATTTGGCAGTACTCCCCGGTGGGTTTTCCAATGGTTCTCTAACCGATTTCAGCTCATAATGAAATCCTCCAACTAATTAATCATTTTTGTTAATACTTCTACTTAACACTATTTTTGCATTTACATACTGACTGACAATACTATCAGTGTAAATGATCTGTAAATCATTTCCCCTGTACAATATAATGTAAAGATAAAAACTACATTCAGCATTGTACTTCCATATATGCCGAAAATTCAACATTGTATCGAACGTACTGTCTAAAATAAGGCCATTATTGTTATTTTAATTGTTATCTAAGGAATCAAACTGTCTTACTTACATTCTCTCCTCCTTCTAAAGTATTCGGTAATAATGGTATAGCAGGAAACATATATTGCAGCGGATATAGCATAGCGGTAAACGCCATTACTGACATTGTCAAGGCATTATAATCTCTTGATTGTAAGACAACCTGAATAGAGTACAACAATAAACATAAAAATAAAGGAAACAACATATAGATAATCCATCTAATAAAGCAAAGAAAATAATCAAGACAAAACTAGACAGCAATGAATAGATGTTTCGTCCTTGTTGGAGACTCTTCAAAACTGTGCGCCCACCAACTTCAAGTTATGATATCAGGTCACATCATTCTGTGAACTAGGCCGATATTTTACAGGACATAGTGTCTGTGGTGTACTTTTTCGGTCGTACATTAGTTGAATAAAATTACTCTGAAGAAAGCACCGTGCCAAATAAGTTCCATGTATATTACTTGGTACTTCCTAACAAGACATATCACCAGCCTTGATCAAACTTATATGCTCTCAAAAATAATAACTAATATGAGACATAAAGTCAGAAACTTTAACATCTACATACTTAAAGTGATTGCTGATGATAAATATATTATATCACACATACCATTAGCTTAGCCTAGTTTACTAGTCCGTCTTAAGGCGGAAAAGTCGGGAAGTGGACGTTGGATTGGCGACTCTACTCAGACCCCAGAAAATCAATTTCATAGCTATAAGAACTTCAAAGAACAGAAAAAATACGAAAAATAAACTTATTCTTCACCGGAATCGGTGAAAGAAAATGACACCAGCTGGTGAAAGTTTACGATATGACTCAGACTCTTGACGCATCACGGACAGCATTTTCAAGAGACTGCTGAAAAACTTCATCAACAGCTGCTTTCAATGGCTCTGTAAAAGAGATCAGATGGCTATTCAGATATGGTGGAGTAACAAGGAACTCTAGGAAAGAACCAATCAAGAACCTGCAACCTAACAAACAGGCAGAAGGAAATGGAGGTGAAACCACTGGCTGATGTCAAGAGCCAAGCCCTTTTCCAGCCTGATTCATCCCATATCAGCTAACATTAACCGTCAAGGAAGGTGATGGCTAGGCGTGTTATGTTGATAGTTGAAAAAGGTTAGAATTCATGGATTAGGCGAATGATAAATTGCTCGTCTCGTCAATTTGTGGTCGCGCTAAAATCACGAGTTGGTAGAAGTTAGAATTCATGGACCGACCACTGAGTCGGGTCCCAGTGGCTGAATGGTATACGAGCTTGCCTTATAATTGGAAAGTCCTGGGTTCAAACCTCTTATGTGCTTGTCTGCTACTGGTGATTCCCAAGCTAGGATGAAACAGCTATCTGGCAGTATATATATATATATATATAAATTAAGAAAAACATAAGATGAAGGAGAATTTAAGCTAATTACCTCTGGAGAAATAAACAGAAATCAAATAAATTAATTCACTTTACCTTTTGTTCTAACATGATAGCACTTAGAACTTTTAAGCATGTCTCCATTCCCAATAATTCCAATGGTAAATGCAAAGGGAAATCAATCAGTGATAAACGTGTCTTATCGGGTAAAGCAAAGATCAACTTTTCATACAGTGATCCAGGTCCAATAGATAACTATTTAAACAGGAATAACAAAATGATAAACAAACTACAGTTACTAATGAGAAAACATGAATAAAAATCAATTGGAATTTTATAATATAATGTTAAGATATAATTATTTCTTAAAAGTAGCTGTGAATACATTTCAGATTGCTTTGGTCTGTAAGATTTAAAAGTCTAGCGTTTCACTGTGTATGGTACTTTATGATAAATATGTACTACTAGTAGTTCTTAAAGCAAAGAAAGACAAAGCAAATACACAATTGAAATTTGTATTTTCGACTGACTATATTGAACCGAAATGTCTGGCCTCTGTTGATAAGTCGGTCTCTAACTAGTACGGATGCTCCGAAGATATCTGAAGACCAAAATGATATTATCTGGTGGATGTTGACTAGCACTGGAATCCAATATGTGGATTTCGTCCCACTTGAGACTCGTCGACTGGATGTGACCATCATTTCAAAGGTCAAAGCGTCTTCCACTAGACCATTTGGATCATTAGAGTCACCTCTTGTGTAACCAGTATCAATTATTATTTGTTTCAGTTTAACCGTAGGAAAAATTAAAAAAGACCTCTGCGAAGAAGAGAATTTTCCTATCGATGCAGCCATCAGCTAGGTTGTACAGTTCTGAGTGGCGAGAAGGTTTTTTTTTTTAGATTTACAGCTTGATTCCACACTGTATTTCTGGTACAAGTATGGAATTTTCAGCATGGATATCGGTAGCCCAAATTTCGCAGGCCGACCATAGATATTTCCGGTTGATGGTCAAAATAATATGCGAGTGGAAACAATTTCCAGACTGGCTAACAAAGAGAGAATGTAGGTGTGTTTATAGCTCAGAATATTTGAAAAGTCATTCAAAAGAGCATAGAAGATTCGACCAGACTTCTGAAAAGGAAGTGAAATCAAGACATATGAATATAGCTGAAGTACTAACAATCGGGAAATTCAAGTCAGCGCTATGTATTCAGAGGAAGTACATCCAACCTATGTCTTTACCATAGTCTCCATAAACATCCCAATTTTTTCTCAATAATTATTTTCTATAGTTTGGTTTGTAAGGATTAGTTATGTTTTACGGGTTGATCACGGATTGATATCAGTTAGAGAACCATTGAAAACCAGGGAGTACTGGACAGCTGCTGTTTCATCCCACTAGTTTGGGAATTATCGGCAGTACGCACCCACTGGGATTCGAACCCGGGACCTTCCGGTTACAAGGCAAGCTCGTATACCATTCAGCCACTGGGACCCGATTCAATGGCTCGTGAATTCTAACTTCTACTAATTCGTGATTTAGCGCGACCCCAACCATTGTCGTTGGTGGGACATCCATCCACACACGTGACATCAATAATTATTATCTAACTTTGTTTTTATATCTAGACTTCAACCTTATTCTTGTCATCATTACGTTTTAATCCCTATTTGTGATCTAATTTTAGCCTCGACCAGAAAAAGTTCTGGAACTCTTCCTCACCGCTTTACTGCATATTCATGGATGCACAGCTTAGTTGATAACTTCGTTGAAAAGAAACTTTTCTTCATTGAAACCGCCCTTTTAATTTTCCCTGTGATTACACTGAAACAAATAATAATTGATACTCGTTACACAAGAGGTGGCTCTCATGATTCAAGAGGTCTAGTGGATAACGTTTTGGCGTTTGAAATGATGGGTGACGGGCTCGAGTCCTAACGAGAACCTATTACATTCACCTGCGGAGCCCCCAACAGTACGTAACATGTAGCCTGGATTTCCCTGCTAGTCACCATCCACCAAATGATACTAATAATAATAGTAGTCTGTACTGGAAACTGCTTCAAAAGCAACTGATTACGACTGCCCTTCTAAATCAATCAATATACGCTTCTATTCTTCTAGATGAACAGTTTAAAACTTAACCTACCGCATCGAAATGCTTTTATTATTGATGGATTTCTAAACCATTATAAATATTTTCACACTTCAACCGATCAAGGGATCTAGAGTCTAGTGTTAGTGAAACTGATTGTCTCATACGTCTACGGTCTAGCTAAGCAGTGTCTAGAGAATCTCGGTAGCATGAGATGAAATCATTCACAATGGAGCATATATATGTATATATATTCTTCACCAATCGAAATATACAAAAACAAATACCTACTGAATGAATTGATAAATGATATTTTTCTCCATATCAATGATATCCACACTATCTCTACTAGTTTTCTTTATAGTTATGTTTCACCAAGACACATTCCCATAATATGAACTTTTTGAATAATCGTTAGAATTTTGAACTGCATACAGAAGTAAACTCTGAAATAAGTTAATCCGTATTTCTCCCTATGTTTTCAACTACTGTTGTAAATATTGACATTTCAAGAGTATTTTATGACAATGAGTTTGTCGCCTTCAACAGGACAGCTATTCAGTAAATGTGTGTGGGTGTGTGTTAGAATAAATCTGAGTCCTGAAAGGTATTGAAATTCATTGGTGAAACAATGTATTATGTGTTTGTAGGAAGAAATCTTCCTCTCTTTTATTCCTGGCATTCAAAGGGGAACACAAAGCACCAAGCTTTGAAGTTTCAGTAATGTTGGTGTTATCTATAACCAGGTAGGGTCGCTAGCCTCACTTATAACCTTCCTTTTGATGACGACTACTAACTAACACAAAACCTAGGCTTCCTGCCGATTGCCTCCAGCTATCTAATATCATCAAATCAATGTGCACCGTGTGGAAGTCAACAGCACTCAGCATCAAAAATAAGATCCGGATTTTCAACTCAAATGTAAAGTCAGTGCTACTATACGGATCAGAGACTTGGCCAGCGCGTCATAAAGAGCATCTCAAACAAACTTCAGACCTTCATTAACAGCTGTCTTCGCTCAATACTCAAGATCAGATGACCAGAAAAGATCAGCAACAGGGATGTCTGGGAGCGAACCAATCAAGAACCGATTCTACAACAAATAGGCAGGAAGAAATGGAGATGGAATGGCCGTACGCTGAGGAAACCACCAAGTGACATCACTAGACAAGCCCTCGAGTGGAACCCGAAAGGGAAGCGGCGAGTTGGTCGTCCAAGGGTAACTTGGAAGAGGTCGTGCGAGGAGCAGATGAAAGCATGTGGGCAGACTTGGAGCGAGGTGAAAAAGTTGGCAGAAGACAATGGAGGTGCGCAGCTGAAGCCCTATGTTCCTCTAGGAACTAAAGGATACAATAATAATAATAATGTGCACCGTGATGGTGAGCTACCTAGAATGGTGGCCACATTGCAACCTTGACTGATAGAATCCAGTCTACACCAAGGAGAGGACTAGACACGTCACAGTAGTTACTCGTGTCCAATGAAAGTACTTCCCTTTTTTCCCCAACTTACTATCTGATGGTAATCTAGATGAAGTTTAGGAGAGACAGAGAGAGAAAGAGCATTCTACCACTGAACCATCAGCAAATACACTAAATTGTAGAGGAAAGAAATGGAGAAATAAATTATAGATGATCAAAGCTGTTTGTTTCGATTCCCAACGAATGTACTCCTAAACCGGTAGTAATCTCAGTTTAGAGGGAAGACTGCCAGTAAAGTTAGCTAATCCAACTGGTAAAAAGGAAAAAAAACAGCACCACTTCTAGTGAAACTTCAAAATTTAAGCTTAAAGCCCTATATTCCACCTCGAATGCAAAAGGAATTACAAGAAAAGAAAACGATATTTGATATCTAGAGTATTTAATGATATGTAAAAAAAAATTCCTCTAACTCCATTTAATGCTTTGATAGTATTAGAAAAACATCTCGAAGAAAAATCATCTTGTAGTCAACGTTACTTTTGTGGAAGCAAAACACTGTGAATGATCTTCACATTATGAGAATGGCTTGAAAATGAGTATTAATAGAAAAGATGACCTTTAAAGTAAAGATTCTCATTGTTTTGATGTACTTCTTGTGTATTAACTTGAATAATAATAACAATAATATAGCACATATAAGACTGGAACAGACTGTAGAGAGTGGAAGACAAGAATATACTGGGCCGACAAGAAGATCAGATGACCCAAAAGGATTAACTGCAAAGAACTCTGACAACGAACTAACCATCAACCTGTCACCCAATAAATATGTAGAACAAAATGATGATGGATTGAAGATAAGTTAATGAGACAGTTGAATGACATCACGCGTCAAGACATAGAGGGGAAATTCAGTGGGAAGGAAGCGAAAGGTTGCGCTTAGGTTCGAAGGTGACACTAAGGAGATTCTGAGAGGAAAAGATAAAAAGCCTATTGGTAATCGTGCAGACAGCTAATAAAATGACTACAGAGAAAAGAGTGAAATGCAGATGTGCTGCTTAAGTTCTATGTCCCACTTGGAACCCAGGTGATCAGTAATAATAGTATATATTAGACTAGTAGATATAGTTATGTCTAACTTTGTTCACGGATTTATTAGTAACATGAAACATTTCTTTGACTATTACCATATCTCACTTCTCTGAAGTTTCTTTAAAGTCAGCTTAGAAAAGACTGCACACGATAGAGGTTATTATTAATAACTTCTCTATAACACACGAATTTCTACAATCCAGAATTCAACAAAGACTTCTAAACTATTTCAAACAATAAGCGTGTATAAATTTTTAAAGAAAATTGATATTCAAACCATTTTTAACATTAAAAAAACATTGAATTTACATGTAGACATGTCTTCCCAGGGATAGGAACAGGTGCATTTAGTAAGCGAATAATCCAAGACTCAATTTCATAGACAACTTGACTTTGCGACTCATCAATACTTTCACGTGCAATCGATCCATCATTCAAAAAAGTTGACCAGAATGAATAGAACTTACTGAAATATTAAGCAGACAAGACAAGATATCTGGAATAGATAAACTAGTTTATGGTTATAAAAGGATACTTTGAAAATGTTCTAATTAGTTTATCCTGTATATCTGAAGAAATCTAAAATTCAGTGTTTAAATATTAATATGCTTTCTCTTAAACATGAAGGCTTGAAAATCATCTCTATACTCAAAATGATTAAATATAAGTTTCAGATTTCATGGTTTTTTATCAAACATCATCGAAGAAGCCGGAAATCCCACAATTTCCCCAACCTTAAACCTGCCATTTAAGAAGTGCTTTGAACACTGGTAATCAAGTTCGACCAAAAACTGACTTAAGTTAAGGAACTAGTAAAAGCCAAGAAGTGATTGTCAATTGTTTCGTCCTTCAACGGTAAATACTGATAACCCTACTAGGGGTTGAACTCAAAGGCTTCAAGTTACGAGGCTAGCCTACTGGTCATCCAGTCACTGGGAAGGAAGGAACTCAACGGCCCATCTATTATAAATTCTGTCAATTTGCGATATATATAGCACAGCCACCAAGCAATGCTATCGGTGAGTATTCATCCTCATACTTGCAAATTGGTGAACTTCCCCCCCTCTTGTGGTTACAACTTCCTACTAAAACTTCATCCTGTAGCCAGTCACTAGTGAATGCCAGATTATTTTGCAGGAATTTGAGTTTCAGTGAAGTTAAAGTATCATAGCCAAGGCCAAAGTCTTTCAAAAGTTGACCTTCAAGGACCAATCAGATACACGGAATGCTATGAAAAGTCATTCCAAATCAAATCATACCTGCCTTCTTAGACTTGGAGAGGATAGATACAGCATTCTACCTATTTAATAGGTACTTTGTCAGCAAATCTATATTGTTATATAGGGTTATGGCTTTTAAGATTAAGGTTTAGAGTCTGGAGTTAAGGTTAGGGGTTTATGGTTAGAGTTAGGAGTAGATTCAAGAAGAGTGTCAGAAATATCAATGGATCTTAAGTTACCATGACCTGCAGTCACCTGGATGAATGGATATATAGCGCCTGGAACGGTTTCTCCATAAATCATCTATATGGTGACTGGGAGGTATACTTACAACACATAACCTACAACTATAAAGTACAAAATCACGTTTGCGTTTTTTTCAGTGCATTTTTCAACGATTATGCGAATTTACTGCGTCTGAATTCTGATTGGCAGTTCAAGGTCGCTGGGGTTTGCCTATGAAAGTTTAACTTTGCCTCGTTACTTAGTTACAACTCAGCTATACGGTAGCAGAACGTAGGCTCTACCTGCTTCAGCTTGGACATCTAGGTATCCCCACACAAAATAATCGCTTGCCTTATGGCCTAGAACATGAAAACTGGTTTCAAGAGCTGAGTTCTAACAAATACCTAGTACATGAGAGCTTCTTTTACTATCCGACTGCCCAGAATGAAGTAGTTGGGAGGAAATTTGAACTCTAGTACCCAGTGTCTGGAATCTGACTGCTGTAGCCGGTTAAATATACCTCAAGATGAATATTATAGAAAAAAGTTAAACTCACTTTTCAGAAGAGTACAGCTTTTTAAAGTACTCATCACATCTATCAATAATAGTTTTCAATGAATATAAACATTGTCGAAATTTAGAAAAGAATGGATGATGACTGATTAAACAAACAGATATCAGTATTGATTGTTTATTATTATCGGACGATTGGAAGATTTCTGTTGTCCTATGACGAATTGAATTAGATAGCTGATCAGTTTTAAATTCATTGTTCATATTTGTCTGAAATATGTAAAAGAATAAAAAGACATTAGAAATCTATTGTACAAAAATGCCTTAAACTGTAACTGTTTTGGCCAGAATAAATAAACAGTCGTTTTACATATCTAAACTTCCACTAATATTTTGCAGTTAACTTATGAATGATTTGTAATTTTATAAATATAGATATGTACAATGACTGTTTATTTGCTTTATTAAGAACTGAAGACCCCAGCTACTCTTGAGCACAGACGTTTTCATTCTGCATCGAACTACATCGACTCCTAGCCTAAAAATAGCAAGTAAAATGGTAGGTCATGTTGAGCACTTTACACACTTGGAAAGCTGCATCAGCCACAATGAGCTGTTTGCCTACGAAGTCCTAGCACAGATACAGAAGGCTCGTAAGGGATTTGTCAGCTAACGCCATCTCTGACGTAGACTTGATGTTCGATTGCCAATCAAAGGATATGTATACTGCTCAGCAATTTGCTGCATCCTTCTGTATGACTGCGAAAATCTGCCCCTGGAAGTGGAAGGCATGAAAAGGCTTGCTGCCTTTGATAATAGGTATCTGTGTTCTATCTATTTTGTTAGGTGAATTGATGCAATGAATAATAATGAGATTAAGCGTCAAGTGCTACTCAATGAGGAAGAGTCAGTCGATCACCACGATACGTGAGTTACGTATACTTGGCCACCTCTTTCCCCACTGAGTAGTGTTGACTAACATTGGATTCAGTTAGGAAACAGTTAGTAGTATTCAAATAAAAACATGGCATCAGTCTAAGAAACCTCTCATTGTTGGTATGAGCCACTAAGGGAAATGTAGCCTCATTAGGTTGAGTCCTCGAGATGTAAAGAGCCAAAAGCTTGAGAATCTTAGTGATATTGTTCAAAGTTTTCTCAGTGGTCCAGATGAATTCATGGTTTTGAGTTTCTCAAAATTTACCAAACCCATGTTATTCTCTATGTACTTATTCCTTCTTGCGCATATTTTCATTCATTTGGATTTTTTATTACTTCGCATGGTATATGGAATGTAGCAACTTCAACTGCCGCGCTTCAGTACAAGGCTCTACCATGAGAACTTAGCCAGCTCAGTCATCAAATAATTGATTCATGAAACTGGACTTCAGAAATAAAGTTGACCAGAATTATTTTTGTTCCCAAACGTTCCTTAGGTTTTAACTACACAGTCGGTTAAGTAATTCAACTGGATGGTTCATAATTCGTAGAAATAAAAATATCTTGATTATTGGTTTCATGATATTTCCCAACTTCGTTTGAATAACTTTTTATGTCTGCCATTTTCACATCCTCGAATTAACAGATGAACTGACTGTATAAATATGATAACCAAGTACTTGAATCAACAATCGCAAAATTTCGAAAGACTACAGGATAAGTGACAGAAATAAAGGCACAATACAGTGCTTTTTCTGTTGCTTCGATTGAGGCACTACACAAATATGTTTGGAGTGTCTTTATACAAATTTCGGCTGACTTGCACTTTGACTATACCTTGAATTACAGCTGTAATATCTAGTGAATTATTTCTTATGAATTCTACTACACAAATAACAGCATAACAAATAGAAAAAAATGGAAATGAGAGAGAAAGTACAGATGAGAGCTACTGAAGCATTTTATAACCTGCATTATGTCATGAAAAGTATGCATTTCTGCCAGTGGGAAAGATTTTTAACCATGCTACCAACAATCTCCAACCGTTGATTCTTGGACTCGGGAAGCCCTAAACCAGAAAGTTTAAACATGCTTACCTAGCTTAAGCAAGAATTCCGTTGCCTCATAAATTGATTCTGTGCTTTGCTCTAATTGCTTTTAAATGCTCTCAGCCTAGCTTTTACTCCGCAGACATCACCTGTCCAAGAGGTAACTGTCCAGGGTATGTAAAATGTGTCCTATACACCTCACTCAAAAGTTTGATAAATTCGTAGACTGAACTACCTTACCTAACTAAAATATTCTGTTTAACCGCAGCATAATTAACTCAGTTGCTCCACACTGTGTGCACAACTCAAAAACAACGTGTGCAGAAGCCAACTATAGTTTATTTGTAGGCCATTTGAGCTGCTTCTCATTGTGTTTTGCCCAAAATTGTAACCGTGCACACTGAGAACCAATCCTGAGTAGGACCCGTTTAACGAAAATAATTAAGGTAATTAGCTAAAATGCCTCTAAAAATAGGATTCAAGTGTATGAATTAAAGATCCCTATATATCAACAGTAAAACAGTGGCAAACAGTAAACTAATCACGATTAATCTCCAAAAGACATTATTCATATTTTCGCCGGCAAACTTTCATATAGAATCAGTTTATTAAAGAGAAACGCTAAGTGGGTAAGCTAAAACAACTAATTTAATTAGCAACAAAAGCCTAATGTCTCGATAAGCCAGGAAAAACCTCAGGCGTTTATAAACCGGGTGTTTTCTTAAAAAATTGCACCAATAGAACGCTACCGATGAATATAAATATAAATGCACTTACTTCACCATATAGAGGACATGGTCTGAAAAAATTCAAACAAATCCCGAAACGTGTCTTCTGCGAATCTTTGTCTGTCAGTGTGAATACGAACGTAGTAGTGCCCTGAAAAATTATATACGGTTAGCAACTAGCTATTACCAAGTTGGTGGAATTCATAGACGAAGATAAGCATCCTTCAGGTTGACAAAAATACACCACATCATTAGGCAAAATGAAGTCTTGGTGTTTAATTAATGGATAACATTTCAAAATTTTAGGTGTTTGACAGTAAATATTCTCGGTTACAGAATTTGCTTCTCGGCCAACAAAAACCAAATAATCAACTAAACGTGGACAATAACCAAACTGCTCGGAGTTTAGAATCATGCTTATTGATAAAATGTTTTAGACGCCAATTTGAAAAATGCTCTTTAAAGTTCATTAAAGTCACACATTAGCGGATTGAAACAAACATCGCGTCGCACATAATAACAAGCAGTTAAAAGTGTTTTACCATGATTCATTCAGTTATATAAAGCCAGACAGTATTACAATCATCAAAAGATAATTTAACATTTCGTTTTAATCCATACACACAGTGCAACGTTATATCATTCGATGTCCCTAGATAGCACCCATAAACAATGTTGAGGAAGACTTCCAATAGGAACAAAATATGTCTGAACAAGTTGGGTTTTAAATCCCCACCGACCGTCTGAAGTGTAAATACTAATCTCTCTCAGATGAAGCTCAGTAGCATATGCCACATCTGCTGTAGTTTATACCAAAGTAGTGCTGCTGCTTGGATTTTACGATTTCCACCCGCCAACAGTCCTCTAGCTAGATCCGAAAAACCCCAGCAAATGCAGCACTGAGAAAGAAGAAATACAATCAGGCGAATAGAATAAGCAAAGGGCAAGACAAGAGCAGTGAACATAAGGCATTTAAGGTTAAAAGAGGGAAAAACAAACAGCAACGAAAAGCGAGAGGTGAGACACAGCATTGCAGCATTTAGCTGTCTACACACGAAACAAAGTAGTTTGTTTGCATAGTCTCCGTATCTTGTGTATCTGGTGCTGTTGCTACTGGCTTCCCATAAGTATGACTCAATAATATATAACAACTATATAACACAGCTAGGAAGACAGCTACTGCATAAACCCGCCAATCAAGGATGAAGTTCGAATGCAAAGGCACAACCTTAGCAAATTTTCTCTTAAATGAACTTCAGGAATAAAACTTCCAATGGTGTCCCAAACCTGACTGCTGACGATGAGACAACCGAAGGAGATCAAGAAAAAGCAGAAGCAGTTGCAGACTACTCCTCTCAAGTCTTCACTCAGGAGTCACCAATCGTTATAGGATCAGCTCTGGCTGCATTAAAGGAGTATGGGATAGATTCTTTTGATATCGACCAAGGCATCGTGCTCAACTGCCTAATGAAACTAGATGCGAGGAAATCAATGGGTCCTGATCATCTTCCCCCAAGGCTTCTCAAGGAGGTATCAGATCACATGGGACTCAGACATTATAGGGAGGGTTCAAAGGAAGGCAACACGTATGGTTCTCGGCATGACTAATTTTCATACGAGGGAAGACTAGACAGTTTAAATGTCTTCCCCCTATCATACCATAGGCAGAGAGGAGATTTAATCGCAATGTTAAAAATTTTAAACAATGACCATGGGCCTGACCTATTCTCTCTTTTCCTTCCACCAGGTCGGAACACCTTAGAGGACATAGCAGGAGAGTTCAAAAGCCAAGGAGAAATCATACTGCTGTTGAGTACTGGTTCTCACATCGAGTGATAAGTTCTTGGAACCGACTCCCAGAACAAGTGGTGTCTTCAACCGATTCATTCAAGAAGGGTTTGACAACCACAGAAATTTACTAGAAAAGGAATAACATAGGCTTCAAGCCTTCTATCCTCAACCAATAATTCTGAATCTGAAATCTGATATTTATCTGAATAAGGTAGTCAAATCTCTTCGTCTTAGTCTTCGTCCAACCTGAGTGAATCTTCCTCGTCTCTAACCAGCCCACACCATTTACATCATCTGCACGAAGAATAGCTGGAAAGCTGTAGTAATCCGACATGCGATTCAGGTGAATCATGGAAAATACTGGACGAGGAACAGTTTCCCTCATCCTATTACTGGATTAATAGATTTTTGGCACTTGAACTTCACGTAATCTCCATACACTCCAGGTATTATTATATCCTTTAATTCCTAGAGGAACATAGGGCTTCAGCTGCCCGTCTCCATTGCCTTCTGTTTTCTGCCAACTTTTTCACCCCGCCCCAAGTCTGCCCACACGGTTTCATCTCCTCTTCACACGACCCCCTCTAAGTCACCCTAGCACTGACCAACAACTCACCGCTTCCCTTTCGGTTTCCACTCGAGTAATGGCTTGTCTAGTGATGTCACTTGATAGTTTCCTCAGAGTATGGCCATTCCATCTCCGTTTCTTCCTGCCTATTTGTTTCACAATCGGTTCCTGGTTGGTTCGCTCATTGCCAGAGATGCCTGTTGCTGATCTTTTCTGGTCATCTGATGTTCAGTATTACTGAGCGAAGGCAGCTGTTAATGAAGGTCTGGAGTTTGTTGGAGACGCCCTTTATGACGCGCCAAGTCTCTGAGGTGTATAGTAAGTAGCACTGACTTCACATTGGAGTTGAAAATCCGGATCTTATTTTTCATGATAAGTGATGTTGACCTCCACACAGGCTTGAGGGTAGTGAAAGCTTGTCTTGCTTTTCCGATTCTGTCTTTGACGTCCTCATCAGTTCCACCTGTAGTTGAAACGATGCTTCCCAGTTGGGTGGGTAAAGGAGGTTGTTTCTTTCAGGTTCCTCCCATTTATGATGGCTGATTGTTGTCTTTTGTTGTGGCTGTTGCTGTTGGCCAGGAATTTTCATCACCTCTGTTTTATCTATGTTCACCTGTAGTCCTATCTTTGATGCTTCTTCTGCCAACTTGTTGCTTTTCACTTGCATATCTTCCAGTTTGTGGGAAATCAGACATATATCATCGGCGAAGTTCAAATCCTCCAAGTTTTTTGTGTGAGTCCATATTATGCCTGTTTCATCATTGCCCATTGTCTGTCTCATTATCCAGTCTACTGCAGTCACGAAGATCATTGGCGATAGTAGACAGCCTTGCCTCACTCCCGTCCTCACTTCGGAGGCTTCCGTAAGTTTCCCGTTGTGGATTACTTGGCATGCAGCATTGTCGTATAACTGTTGGATGAGATGTATAATTGTCGATGGCAACCCGTAGTAGCGAAGTAGTTGCCAAATCACCTCTCGATCGACGCTGTCGAAGGCCCTTTCAAAGTCGATGAAGTTGAGATAGAGAGGTGACCGCCATTCTAAACTTTGTTCAATGATGATCCGTAGAGTGGCGATTTGATCAATACATGACATGTTTCTCCTGAATCCAGCTTGTTCCGGTCGAAGTTTTTCACCCAGATCTTGTTTAATTCTCTCCAGGGTGATGCGGCTTAGTATTTTGCTTGGAATGGACAAGAGCATAATTCTGCGCCAGTTTTCACATTGACTTAAGTCTCCTTTCCTTGGTAGTTTGAATAAGTATCCGTTCTTCCAATCCTCGGGTACTTTGCCTTCTTTTCACACCTTCTCCAGCAGTGGCGTCATTAAGTCCGCTGTTGTCTGTGGGTCGATTTTCAATGCTTCTGCTGGGATTTCATCTGGTCCTGCTGCTTTCCCAGCTTTTAGCATCTTGATTGCATTCTGGACTTCTGATTTCGTCGGGGCGTCGATGTTCACTTGTACTTCTGCTTCCGTTGTTGGTATTGTTGGGCGCGCTGTAGATGGCGGTCGATCTACAAGTCTTTTGAAGTGTTAAGCCCAGTGTTTTCTCTGTTCCACCTCTTTGGTGATTGACTTTCCATTGTCGTCCTTTATTGGCTTAATCTGTGTCGAACGTTTGCCCGAAAGGTGCCTAGTTGTTTGGTAGAGTGTGGCGAGGTCTCCTTTGCCTGCATTTTGTTCTGCTTCACTTTCCATGGCTTCATAATATTTTCTTTTGTCTCCCCTGGCACTCTTCTTCACTCTTCTGTTCAGTGTATTGTAGCCTGCATTCAACTTCTGTTTTAGTTGCTCGTCGGTGCACTGGATAATCTTTTGTTTCACTGTCCTTCTCTCTTCTATTAGTTTCCAAGTGTCCGTAGTGAGCCACTGTTTGTCCTGTCTCTTTTTTCTGCCTAGAATTTCCATGCAGGTTTGACTCCACACCGTTTTCAAGTTATCTCAGAGCTTTTCGACGCTGACCTATTCGCTGGTGTTGATTTGTATCTCGACTTTTTCCCTTATGTTTGCAATGAAGATGTTCTTTGTAGCCTGGTCCTTCAGTTTTTGAGTGTTGAACTTGGCTTGTGGTCTATCTGCAGCTCCTGTTTCACTGTAAGCTTTTAATTTGATTTGGATTGTCCCTTGTACGAGATAGTGGTCTGAGCCAACGTCTGCTCCTCTTCTTGCTTTTGTGTCCAGTAGGCTGCGCCTCCACTTCCTTGAGCAGCATTGAGATGAAGTCAATTTGGTTTTTGGTTTGCCCATCTGGTGACACCCATATAGCCTTGTGGATATCTTTGTGTCTGTATACGCTGCCACCAATCACTAGTTCGTTGAAGGCGCAGAAGTCGGCGAAGAGTTCTCCGTTTTCATTCATTTCTCCGAGAGCTTCTCTACCCATGACGAGTTCCCTTCCTGTGTTGTCTGATCCCAGTTTGACGTTCATGTCTGCCATTAGTATTTTAATGTCACCAGCTGGAGTATTGTCCGTCACCGCCTGTAGTTGTCTGTAGAATTCTTCTTTCTTTTTGAGGTCTGCGTTGTTTGTGGGTGCATAACATTTTATAATTGACACTTTCCTTCCATTGGAGTATGCTTCGATCCAAAATAAAAAACAGTTTCTGGCAGTTGTTCCTCAGAAGTAGTTGATGACACACAAATGTAAAAGACTTGGCTGTGTCTGGAATGAATGTATCTGCTGAAAGGCCCTTATCTCAGCATGCAGTGTAGTTGTTCCAAGCCGCAACTAAGTTAATGGTGCAGAGTTATATGGAGAGATTGACTTCAAGCTTTATTTTTTCCCCAAATATTTGTAATCCATCAAACACATACTTAGGTTTTTTTTGTTAATGCGAGGACAATATTTCTATATTTCTTAATGTGCTCCATTGAACGACTAGCTATCAGATTGTACACACAAACTAATGTCTGAGATGACAGCAACTTTGTAATTTCACCTTAAATCAAATTAATGTAATGTAAATAACACTTATCCATTCCTGTACAACTGGCGTGTCCTACATAGATAGGAATAAACATATATATATCCGTAGCAGAGCTGTCCTTGGTTAAG